TTTTTTTTTTTTTCCATAGCGTTGATGCAACACTGAAAAAGCGCTATTTCCAAACAAACACAGGTCCCTCATTAGTGATATGTAAGAGGCAGAGATAATCTCACCTGGACAGTTTTGCATGAAACATACAAATGAAACAGGTTCAACCTTTTTCTTTTGTCTTTTTGTAGTTTCACATATAATAATAAATATCCATACCTATAAACACTCCAAAAAATCAAAATATTAAGTCACAGGTACTGGAAAAAGCTCCACTTTTAAATCACAATGATAAATGTACAAAACAATAGACATCTCATATAAATGTTAATGGTTTCGTTAGAGACTTAAATCTCATTTCAGAAGAAATCAGCGGATAAAAACTTAACTTGGAGATTCAGTATTTCCTGAGGTTTATGGGTTCCCCTTAAAAGGCCAGGAGAGGGGAATGGCTTTTATGTTACCAAGGAGATATTACAACAGGTCAAAGTGTACCTTTTAGGGCACCAGTCGGGTTAAGGACAAGGAGTTTTCCCTGACAACACGGCCGGGATATTAAAAGATTATGAGCACTTGTACAATAAATGTACCTACGCCCCACCGTTCTCCACTTAGGCCACAATAATATTTGAAAACAGTTGATTAAAGTCATCTTAATCCTTGATAAATCTTTGCCGGTCCACTTTGAGAAGTTGTGAAGCTCCCGTTTACTTAATATTAACCTTTTAAAATGCTGGAAGCCACCACAACGCCGAGCCGACCACAGCCAGTTGTCACGGCACACTCTGACCATGTGACCGAGAAGTCAAAGAGGTCACATCTGCACTTGATGCAATGAAACAACAAAAGGAAAATATCTGGGTAAATGTACACAGATTAGGGGAATTGGTGAGGAAAAGGAAAAAAGAAAGAAAAAATCGCCTGAATAAAACGCAAAAACAAACAAAAACCCAAAGTATTCTGAAAAACTGTACATGTAAACATCACACTTTCACTGAGTCCAAAACCAGAGGGGAAAAATACAAAGCTTCACACAGGTTTACAGTACAACCCCCTGCACAGAGCTACAGTCTCTTATCAGTGCAGGAGAGGCAACAATTGAAATAATATAAATAACAATAGAAGTAATACAGACCATCACCAAATGATAAGTTAAAACAGGCAAGGGCTAAAACCACTTTGATTTTTTTTTTTTTTAAACAGTGCTGTACCCACAGAAAAAAGAAAAGTTTAAAACATCTTTTATCACTCTTTGTACAGCTATACAGTACATTTATCTGACCACTTTAGCAATCCACAAGCTACCAGGGCATTTTTAATCAACACCAATAGATTACATTGTCTAGTCAATACAAAGAGAAAATCCATTGGGCATTATTAGGAAAAAAACAAAACAAAAAACAAAACAAAAACAACAACATGACAACAAGTGGTTGTCGCTGATCACAGTAACTCCAGCACACAGCTAAAACGTCGCTCAGCGTAGACTTAAGACAGAATCTGCAAGCAAGTGTTTGGTTGTGAAAATGGGACGAGATTCAACATCACTGAGTTCAACATGAAGTGTAGAGGATCTGCTATGGCTACAGTAACAAACGAGCCGGTTGGAGGAGACGAGGAAGACATGTGTGAGGACTCAGGTCCCACGAACATCTATGACTGCGTCTGTTTGAACCCAGAGGGGTGTTTCACATAGTTGGGCTTAGTTCAGCAAGGTGGGGAAATGTGTCATAAATCAGGTTCAAAGATGGTTTTTCCTTTTAACTCTGTTTTTGGTCTCTACCACAGTCCAAAGGGACAAATCTGCCTCTTTAGCTGCTAAATGTTGCAACATGTTGGTGATGAACACTGTTCACTGGTTTTTAAGAGACTTCCTTTCTGTTGCAGTTAAAAATAACGGGATGAGAGCAGTGCAAGTGAACCAAACTGGTTTAACCTCCTGTGTTGACTGCTTTCTTTTCGATTGTAATCTTTTTCTCTGAATGGCAACTTTTGTTTTGTTTTATGTAGTTTTATCTGGAGCATCAGAGACCTTTCTTGGACGCTTCCTTGGTTTTTCTGCCATGTTTCTAGTTACTGTAGGATACTTTGTCTCCACAATTGCTCCCCTCTTCATTTCTGGCAAAGCAATCACTGCTGGTTAATGCACTGCCACCTGTGCACCAGCATGAGAATGTTGTCACAGAAAAACAGATTTAAACCTCTGGTTTATCGTAAAATACAGAGAAATTTACCTGGCACTGACAGGCTTGATCAGCACTGTGTAAGCTTGTTTGTTTTGAATGTAGCAAATATTCATTTATATGTTTATTTGTAAAAGAGTGCAGTCGTGTAAGTCGTAGCCAGACAGTTAAACAATAAGCTGAAGCCCCCTAAAACTCCATAAACCTGAGTCAGGAGGTAATTTTCAGTTTTGATGTTGTCTTTTAAAAGATTTCTGTAATTAAAAATTTCAATTACAGCTACTTGCAGTTCTTAAAAATACAAAATATTTTGCCTGAAAGTAAACTTGCCATGAATATTTCTGTAACTGTATGTCGCCTCCCAAACATCTGCATTTATGTGGTAAGTTTAAGCGTTAACACAAAGTTATTTATGACAGATTAAAGCCCTTGTGTCATAATTAGAAACAAAGCACAGCAGCAGTATGAACTGAAAGGCTGCTTAAAGTTCTCTTTCACATTGCTGCAGTGATTTCGTTTTTGCTGTAATATTTAATGTTGTTATCAGTTGAATATGTCAGACATTGCAGTTGTATGGCCGTTTCTTCACAGTGAACCAATGAAACGTCAACATTTGATGTCTCAGACTTGACTTAGACTGCTCACATAAGCATTTTGTGTGATTAATATTACTGGTAATTTTGTGGTTTATTAAATAGACAGTCAATAGAAACTGGAAACGTGGGAAACGGAAACATCGGAGTTGGCCAGGATTGGGTTACTGCTGACGACATTATGGGCTACACACGCTATCCACTAAGCTAAGGAGTCGCCCCAGTTCACATTGGTTTAATGAAACAGTTACACTAATTCCAGACAGACTTTTCCCCACAAGCCCTGCTTCTCTGGGCCTCCTTAATGAAACACCCCTCAGATGGCCCACGCACACTGATGAGTTCAAACTGAGCTCTGATAAAGGAGCCGTTTGCTATTTTTTATAGATGAAAACTGCCTCTGATTGTGAGCTGTGTCAAACTGTCTTTTGTTATAATCAGTTCTCTGTATGTTTGAACTGAAGCTGATATCCCAAATGAGGTAAAGACACACTCAAATCTCTGTGTTATGTTACCTTAATCCTGAGCTATAAAGTGCTTCCAAACTTGCAATAGATAATAGAATTTAAATGTAAAATGCAATGCAGCCCGATCGTGACATGGCACTGAAATGTGAAGGTCATTTAGGACATGCAGGTCCAACTGTAAACTGGCCTGGTGGTGGTGATGAGGAAGAGATGGATGACACTGATACAGACTGATTAATGATACATTTGATAAGATTTGTGATAAATACAGAAATATATCTCTCTAAACGTTGACAAATCAATAAGGTGCGAGCCACTTCTGGCTGCTTGAAGAGTCATTGTCATTGTTTGGAATGTTTTAGCCTACTGAATTAAATCTTCACAGATTGATGTTGTACAAACTGGGTCACTCCACTTATACACAAACAGTGAGTCAACACACTGTCAACACCAACACTTACATCAACGGAAAAAAAAAAAAAAGAGAGAAAGAATTTTTTTTTTAATGCACATACACACAACAGTTTTTGTGCTGAGTGACTCACCATTTAAAGTTGTGAGACTGTGCTCTAGATCTGCTTTGTGTACTCTTGTGTGTCCTCAGACCACACGCTCACACACACACACACAAACACACCAACACACACCATAGCAGAAAGCTGGGAGAGTAAACTGTGATGCGATTACATCTTTTTCAAAGATTGTCTCTTGCTTCTTTTTCAGACAGTGAGTTTTTCAGACATGGTATCAATGAGGAAAGTGGAGATGGGGTTTGAAACCGCCGAGGTCAGAGGGGACAATACAGACGGACGGACGGACGAAGGAGTTTCTTTTGTCTGAGCATCCCACTCACATGCTCACGCTGCATCCAGTACGCTGCATTCATCTGACTGTCAGTAATGGATGCACAGGAGCTCTATGTGCCCTTTAAACTTAAGAACACTCACTTGAACACTTCCTTCACAAAATAACCCAAAACCACTAAAAAACAACAAAAAAAAGAAAAGAAAAGAAAAAAAAAGAAGAAGAAGAAGACGTGCAACATTAAGTCTCATTTTTCTGCCAGGTCCCATTTCCTTTTTTTGTCACTACGGATGACTGATCCCAACACATGAAAGTGCCTCGATTCTGAGGTTAGCGATAAAGATCAGTTATTTAACAACAAACAACAACATTGAAATTGGCTACAATGCTGCATGGGATATCATTTCTTTTTACAGCTCGACAGTTACAGCGGGAGAGGATTGTGGTGAATTACTAACCCTCTTCAGATGCCTCCGAATGCCTCAGCCAGTCATTTCAGTAAGCACACCATTACTGATTATCTTCAATATTGCACCTTTTTCCACTTTTCCAGTAGCACTGGTTATAAACCAAGAGTCTAAACAATATATTAATCTCCTTTTTTTTTTCCCTGACAGGTGTCTGTGACCTCAATTTGCATACCCAGGCTTCTTCAAAGCCTCCTTCCCGTTAAGTAATGAGAAACTGCGCGTGATAGAAATATTCATAATAAAATAACTGAGAATAAAGTCACGTTGGGTAATGAGTCTTTGTCTCTTAGAACCGAGGTATCATTTTGACCACACACTGATGGATCTGTTCCTCTGGTCAAACTTTACACTGTCAAACACTGTCATGTTGATATTCCCTTTATCTCTACTGCTTTTTAACTTTGTTTTTTTGCGTATGTGTAAGTCAGCACATCCGACAGTAGCTGTTGAGGTTAGCAGGTCAGTGGCAGGTCGCCACATGTTTTAGCAGCGATTCTTCTATGGGCTTCTGGTTGTCATTTAGAAATGACTCTGTTCAGACGACCCAATCAAATCATGCCACTGTACAGCGTATTTTACATTAGTGTAAAAATAGAGAGATGTAATGATGCTAATTCACTGCTTTTTCACTATTCATTTGTCCAAACATCTGCACAAACGAGCTGATTTGGCGTTCTGGTGGTTAAGCTAATTCGACACCTCAGTGTGTGTACCAATGCACATCACTGTTTCACATAAATCATCGCTTCCTGAGACGAATGGAGGTTCAGGTGGTAAAATGAACTGAGTGGGATGAATGGCTACAGATAACAGGGCACTAAGGTCAAAGTGAACCAAATGCATAAATAAACATTTTTCAGCCTGTGATATGTTCGGGCCCATCCAAATACATAAACATGTGGGAATAAGTGAAGGTACCATACCTACAGACCCACTGTGCGCTGCAGTATCACTCGTGTACAATTGTGTCCTTGAAAGTCTGCCCAAATGTGTGTGACAGAGACGGACAGGCGGTGTGGGGGGAGGGGTTGGAGGGCGTTGGCACGGTTTGGCTCGGACTCAGTTCTGCTGCAGGATCAGGTTTTCCAGCTCGTCTGCTGAGCGGAGCAGGAAGGCTGCGGACTCCCGGTACCCTGCGATGAGCTGCCTCACCGCCGTCACCTCTGGAGGGCTGAGCTGGGCCGAAGCTCCGCCGCCGCCGCCTCCCTGACCATGACTGTTGGAGCTGGAGGAGGTGGAGTTGGGGCCAACTGATTTCATGCTCAGATCTGTGGGACCTGTGGATGCAACCACAGGACGATTTAAGGAACACAAACAACAGTGGACCGCCTGGAAAATCTCATACGTAGTAATCTATATGATGTGTTGCCATGCAGACAGTTTGGTGTTGGGGCCCCAAAAATATTAGACACAAATATAATTGGAAGGTGTTATGAAAAGATAAACTTTCTGTTATGCTGCTGCTGTGAAAACATTTAAAACGGCTGAAATGCAGAAACTGCTGACGTAATTGAAGTGGCTGTTTAAGCACTGAAAACAGCGGAGGTAAATAGAAACAGTAAAATATGTGAGACCTCAAAGCGTAATATGTAAGCATGAAAGGAAACGTCAATCGAAATGGATGAATGAAACGATGAAAATGTACGCTGAAAACTGCTGACAGCATGTTCTGTGGATTATGAAAAAGAAAGTGTTTCTTTAAAAAGATGTTGCTGTTGTATTTCAAACACATAATGCTTAATGTACAGTTTAATTACTACAAATTTGCTGTGAAAGTTTATGTACTAATACAGTACGTACCAATACATACTAGTGAGAAAATGTGGGAAAATGTTACATAGGAAAGCTGTTTTGCCTGTTTTCCACTGTGTTGCACCTCGATAAGATGTTTACTTATGCATTAGAAATTCTTGTTATACCACAGTATTCTGCCTCTTCCTTTGCAGTTCTTGGTGGAGCTATAGTCATTTTCTTCTAATCACAAGATGGGCGTCTTCTTGTCAGTCTCAGCATTCTCTTTTAGGGATTGTTGAGTAATAATTAGTTCCGGCTAAACCAAAAATTAGCAAAAAGGTAGAGCATAACTGAAGCTGAGGCAAGCCATGCAAAAGTCCTGGACCATGTTGGCACCAACGTGTCACTCAAACTGGACACACCCTTAATTATGTACAACTTAAGTCCTAAAACAATTTAAACAGAAGTGTTGTGTAAAAGTACACTTCCTGCACAGTTGTCATGAGCAAGAAAACTAGCTATAAAGACCAGAACTGTTTTTGTACCAGGCTGTAAATATGTTTATTTCTGCTGTAAAGTTGGACAATTTAACACAGAGGGCTTGTGTCACTTTTTGATGAAGTGGCCATTCAAGGAACTGCAAATTTGGGCACTTGGCTTCAATTTTTAGAGTTTGCTGCTTAGTTAGAGGATATCTGCAGAGTAATGTGTGAATCCCAAATGTTTCCCCTCTTATGCCCTAAAGGTCTTATTTCCTGTCAGCTACAAGTTTGCATTGTTACATAATGTACTGTGTCACTGCAAGCAAAATTAAAAACATTTTAAGTTGAGATTATTTTGCAACCTGTGACCTAAATTTAACTTTTCTGTGCTGTGAACCCCCAAATAATTTCCAGTCACTTCCACTGCACTAAAGTAGAAAATCTAAGATAAACCAGAACAAATAAAAGCTAATGTTAGTAAATATTTCTCTATATGTAAAAAGAAAATGTGTATTGTTGTAAACTGGATGAACCTATATGTACATGGGCTGCATGTTTAATATATCTCTTTTTCTGAATATCTTTTTCTAACCACATTACTTCAGTGATCTGAACCGATAAATGCGACTCACCATTGGTTTGTGCAGCACCAGAGTTCTGCTGGTTGCTACCGACTGTCCCATATCCCCGCAGGTTGTAGTTGAGGCCTCCGTTGGTGTAGAGCTGGTCTTGGGCAAAAGCTGCGCTGGAGATGGTGAACCCTGACGGGGCCACAGAGGCCGGGTCCCTCGAGTTGGGTTTGTCAGCAGAGGCAGGCTCGTCCTACGACAAATCAAGTGTTTTCAATTTTGGGCAGAATATTGCAGTTTGTTTTGTGCAGTTTGTTGTTAATGATGCACAGCCAGTCAAGCACATTCCCAAATCCCCGCTGGGCAGATTCACAAACACCAACTGCCAAGACATTTACCGTCGCTTGGTACACATCGAGCCGCATCCTCTTGGCAGCATTTCGGGTTTCGCTCTCGCAGGCGGCAGCAAGGATGTTCTCAGCCATGGCAGAGGTGAGGTGAGGGGGCGTTGGTCTTATCTGCAAGCAGGGTCAGTGACATTTTCACAATATAAATGTAAATGTTTTGAGATTCATGAGTGATTGCTGGATTTACACAGAAAACAGTTAAGCTGGAGGAACTTTATACCTCAAAACCGCCTTTTTTCATGCGGCGACAGGATTTGAGGTAGGTGCGGATGCGCTTGCGGGAGCGCTCCTGGAATTCTGGGAACTGGCGGCTACAGGACTCGATGATGGCCTGGATCTTCTCCTTGGGCTGTTTGGAGATGGGCACCATGCGGTCCAGATTCTCATCCACAAACAGACGCACAAACATCTGACAGAGACAGAGGGAGGGGGAGGGGAGAGAGGGGATGTAGAGCAGAAAAATGGAGTGGGGGTGCAGGGTAGCGAAAGAGAGAGAGAGAGGGGTGTGAGAGTGGAAACAAAAGAGAGAAGAGGGAA